TCACTGGATAAACCAGACACAATCGCAGACTGACTGCATGACCTGCTCTCCCTATGGTTAATTAATTAAACCAACAGCAATACAGACTGTCCTCACATCCCGGGGTGGGGGACACACATGGTGCAGCGAGTAGCAAAGAGGTAGAAGTTGGCAGCGCAGGGGGCTCGCTAGTTCCAAGGAGGTGTGCAATTCTCTTCCATCTCCAAGAAGCCAGCCTGGACCCACGCCAGGGCCACACTCACCAGAATAAAGGTAACACGGGCAATATAACTCAGAGGAGACGACGAACGCAGACCCACTGCGAGACAGGTTCAGCACCCCAGAACCTGCGTTCAGAGCAACTCAACTTCTAGCCTTGCCTTCACTTACTGTTAAAAAGGAGATACAGCCAAACACCCACTTTTACACATGTTATGATAAGGAGCGGGGCGGGGGGTAAGGGGGAGCAAAGAGGGCAGGTATTTATCAAAAGCAAAGTTTTAACCGAATTCAATGCAGATACTTCAAAATGCAGGAACACTATATTTATTAGGTCAATATTTCATTTTAGCAATACAATTACAGAATATCACAATGCTGGTTACAAACATAGTATGGTTTGATGGTTACAAATAATGTCGGGCACTGCAGTCTGAGAAGTAGGATACGAAACGTTAGTCTTGACACGACAAGTAGGGTGGTCTTCAAAGTCTAGTAATGATCAAGATACTCTCATATAAATGAATGTGGCACTACAGGTAGAGATTCTGGTTTAGAGGTGGATTTTGTATAAGTAGTACGATTTATACAGTTATACAGTTCAAGCAACATCTTTTTTAAAATGCTATTAAATTAAAATCCCCTGTAGTTCAATAAAGTATAAAAATAGTACTGAACCTGGTAATATTCAATAAAATGTAGAGTTCATTCACATCATTAAGTAGTAAAGAAATTGTAAAGTTGTAGTTACCATGGCAACATCGCTTCCCATAAAGGAATATACATAAAAGAAAAAAGTTACACATATGGTACCTGTGACAATTATTTAGCGATCCAACACTGAACTTGTGCACCACAAACCAAGTTTCTAAATATCTCTATATATTTATATAGTATATATCTTCTTCATCTTAAAATTTACTTTTGAAAAAAAAAAATGTGCACTTCAACAAACTCACTAAGGCCACTCATGCTATAGATACCTAGGATTGCAATGAAATATAGTTAAACAAGACCCTAGAGCACGCACCTTTATATCACCAAAGGGAAACCTGTTTCACTGCCTAAAACATTCCTGAGATTTAGGGACAAAAGCATTACCAGTGCCGCCAATTTTTCATACGTAGTTTAATTTATTTCTAGGTAAAGGAAATTTCTTCCCCGCTTCTCACAGAAATCCTCGCAAGGCCAAGAAACACAACGTGCAACAGGCCAGTCATGTCAAACATGGAAACACCCACAACAAAGAGTCAGATTTGCAACTAACATTTGGCCAGTCATTTTCTAATCATAAAACATAATGAAAAAAGGGAAATGATGACCTTTAGATAAAATAAGGTTTCTACACAGGCAGCAGAGGGAAGGATAACGGCAACACCTCCCCCACGCTATTTGCTGCTAGCCTGCAAAGTCAAATCCGATCCATATAAATCACGTAAAGTTTTTGTCAATAGCTTCAATCATGTTTTAGGCACGATGCATTTTCCTTTTTGTACTCTACCAATACGTAGGACTATAAAAAGGAAATCAAGTTAAATGTGCATTTTTTTGTACCATGAGAAGCAGCGCAATGGCACCTTTAGCAAATTTCAGACTGCAGCACACTTAAAAGAAAAACTTCATTTTTAAAGTTACAAAAGAACATCGATTTCCTAATAAGTTAGAATTCAACAACAAAAACCCTTCAAAATTATTTAACAAAAACTGTGTGCAAAAAGAAAAAAAAAAAGTCTTAAACAATAGGTATCGATCGAGAGTAAAGAGTGCATACGAAGACTAGGATACCAAGGCAGACACTTACTGGTTGTAATTAATACCATGCTATAAAAGTGACCAAACAACTGTTTGGGGCCAAATAGTCACTAGTTGTTTTACTTCAAGTAGCTGAGGGATATATTTATTTTCAAATATCTTTCTGCAACTTTCCCCTTCCCCTTTTGTCAGCTCTTAAAATCTGTGTACTTTTCCCCTCCCGTAACAAGTCATCCAGAACAGCCCCAGTCCTAAGAACAGCAGAGAATCCTGACATCACCTTCCTGCCTCTCTCTACAAACTGCAGTGTTTGCATAAAATAGGATGTACGAATTACTGATTCAAACAACATCATGCTGAAAATAAAATACTAAGGGTTTAATTTAAACAATAGTTAAAATAATTTTCCTTAAGGTGACACCTGTCCTCACCACCTGCATCCAATTGCTCAGGTACGATTACTTACCTTCAAGAAAAACGTGGAAGATGCATATCACTGGATTTCCACTCACAGGTCTCCCCCTTTAATGCCAGCACCAATCAGCACCTGCTCAGCTAGCCGTAGGTGCTTTGTGCGTCTATAAAATGCCAATAATTAATTAACTTTATCTAGTGTTTCATAGTTGGCTACTTGAGTCAGAGGAGGCAGGAGCTCTCCCAGCGTGCAAGGCTAACGCGCAGCCCCCGTCCCCAGTACTTACATTCAGATGCGTATGGGAAACCTGCTCTGGGGGTAGGACAGGAGGGGAATTCCCCAGTTCTGCCTCTAAGGGGAGAGGGAGGTGCAGGGTTCACGTTGGCAACTTCTGCACTGCAAAACCGCACTGTGTGGAGAACATAGGGGATTACACCCTCTGCTCCTTTAGCTCTGCCTGGCGCAGAAGTCATGAAATATTGAAGTGATACTACAAGACCTACTCCAACCACGTTGGCATGGAGGGTCAAGTCATTTACCTTCGTCTCAAGTCATCCATTGGACTCCTGCTTTCTCAAAAATATCAAACAACAAGCTGTAACAGCAGAGACAGTAACAGTGATTAACGACTAACACCACAACATTTCAAATAGTCTCCAGATGCCAATACAGACATCTTCCGAGAACTCCACTGAAGAGATAAAGAAACAAAAACTAGAAAGCTCAGTTTTATGTTATTACATGGAGAACAAGTACTACATTGCAGCTAGGACAGCATGAGGTGAAGGTTCCAAGCTACAGCATGCAGAGCAGGCAACAGAGCATTTTGTAGGCAGCTGCAAAGTTGTTCCGCAAGCCTCTTGTGCTTTAACAACTTTAGCAATCAGCCACAGCTACCTTTCTCCAGAATTTACGTGCCTTGGCATGACTGGAGTTGCAGAGATGCTACAAGGAGAAGTTCAACCCAAGAGTCAAGTCAGGATTTAATTCAGTTGCATGAAAAGCATGCTAGTAGTCCTACAAGGATCACTGCTCTTGGCCAAGCCACATTCCTTGGCCAAAGTCCATTATCGGAGAGAATTCTGGGTGACTTTTAGGACCTTAATTCTTCCAGACAAGCCAATGTGCCAAAGTATAGAACATGCTAGTGAAGTAGCTTTAGGAAAGAAAGAAAAGTACATGCACCCAGCAAGATTTGAGACTAAAGCTACCGATTAAATAAATTGAACTAATGCATTTGGTTATCAGATAGAAGCATAACACCTCCCTAAGCTGCCCCATGTTGGAAGCTCTCCCGGTTGCCCTGACTTGAGGGCAAAGCATGAAATACATACACAAACCAGAACTGAAATAACAGCAGTGGCTCACGTAGACCACCTTCACTGCTATCAGCCAAATAATGCTTCTTGTCCCAAACACAAAACCTTGAGATCTTTGAGATCCCTTAATCAAAAGCTAGAAATGGAGACCAAAGACTGGAAACCCTGAGCAAATAAATGGTCTCCAGACAATGTAAGCATAAATCCATGTACCCAGTTTGAAGCTTTTAAACACTTCTGCAGTACAGAAATTACACAGCTTCTTTAGGACAATTTTAAGCACAACTTTCCTGCTTAAGTTCTGACACTAGTATTACGTACTTCCTTTAATTTTAAATAGTTTTCATAGGACTTAAGAAAAGAATTCATAAGAACTTTATAATTCATCAGTGCCCTGCTGTATGGGCATTCAGGGACAAAAATGTTTTGCCTTGTAGATAACTGAATTTGTCTGTAGTACCTAAAGCAGTCATAAACAAAAATTGCTACAAAGAAATCAGATTTTAAATCCTTGCGTAATTTTAAGTCGGATTTTCATTCAACAGCCATTGAGGATATACTGCGGTCTAAGCCTTAATACCACAGGGTTTTTTTTAGGCAAACAGTTCTTTTCACATCAGTGAAGATATTCAAAATATGCAATCATTAAATCTGCATTCACTAATAACATAACTGCATTTCAAAGGTGGTATTATTCAGCCTTTCCCCCCAAAATATACTTGAAGGCACCAGTATATGAACTATTGGCCTGTAAAATTTCAGTTCTTAAAAGAGCCATTAAGCTTGAAGTCGTGTCTGAAATTTCTATTTCTTCTCTGCACTCCTTCTTGAAGACCAACAAGCAGCTTTCCCTGTCCCAAACTTCATAAACAAATTAAAAACCAGACCCCAAACAAAACATCCAGTCCAAGTCCCATAGGAACTGTGCTCGCTGAGCCTCAGCTTGGACTGACCTTCCACGGCCAAGTTACAAACCCCTGAAAATAGGGGGGGAAGGGAGAAAACCCAAACCTGACAGAATCCTAACTATAGGAGCACTGTTTGTGCCACTATAAGAAGAACTGAGGTAACGGTAGTGAGTTGTTTCTAGTTTGCTATGTTACACAGACTTTCCAATGAGTATTACCTCAACATTTAAAAAAAAAACAAAAAAACAAAACAAAAAACCCCAAAACAACACCCAAACCAAAAAAACCACACAACCAAGCAGCCCCCCCAACAGAAGAAAAATTAAGACAAGCTAGTGAGATAGGCATTATTAAAGGATCTTTACAGCTGACTTCTGCTTTTTAAATTAATATAAAGGAATCAGATTCTGGTTGTACTATTGTTTAATGTAGAAATGAAGCATCACAAAAAAGACCTGTTGTGCTTTTTGGCATTTTCCGCTGACCCCTGCAAACTGTACAATAAGTTGTGTTCTCCAGAAACATAAAATGGAACTGGATTGTAATACAAAACTGTTAACTGGTATAAACAAGTTACTGCCTCAATTATTAGAGTAAGCCCATTCAAAAAGGAAAAAAAGATGGCTGCAGCAAATAGTTAAGCGTTTCTAGTTTGCGCTTGTGGCATCGACATTAATACTTGTATAAGCTTACTAGGTAAAGACATGCCATCGCAACTGCTAAAGAACGTTCACTTCCTAGTTTTGTATCTATTACATGAATATAATTTTGCAGTGATCATACATCTAAATGAAATAATCCTACTGTAAAAGTGAATGCAGGGGCAGAAATATTAAATTAAAGCCACTGGTCCAAAAACTGTTTCTAGCAGGCTGGTCCACTTTTGATTTTCCTGGTCCTGTTCAGAAGATTAGCACTCTTGGTTGGTACCACAGAAAACTAAGATTGCTGGTCTACTGGATCTTCTATCACTTACAGATGAACACTGGTCCAGTTCAGGATATTAAAAACAACATACGGTGGTCACTTGCTTAACAACCTATCGTGGTTCACAAAGAGTACGTTGCTCTCCAAAGTGGCTCTGTGCCACTTTTCTTCATAAGGCAGCAGCCAAGGCTAGGGCATTCTCCCTTTTCTTGATATTTACCATTAGCTTTGCTACAATGCATACAGCAGAAAGACCCTTCTCGTATAGCTTCTTATAGTACAGCGTTTATTCTTTCTATAGATCAGAAGAAAGCTCTTGATGAAACCTTCCATTCATAATAAGAATGCAACTCTTTTGAACTCAAACAGTTTTATTTAATGTTTTCTTGCAGACTTTCTGCAAAGTAGCTTCTTTTGAAAGAAGAGAGAAAGAACGGGTTTTCAGGAATACCAAGTTAAAAATGTGAGCCGAACTAAACATGCCATACACATGCTGATAAGAATTTAACACACATTCATCCGTATGGGCACTCTTCAGTAGACTGGACCAGTGTTTCAATGCAAATTCCAGCCCCCAGAGAACTACATGGTTTAGATTTCACAGTATGACTTTTCCCCCTGTAACCTGGGGGAAAAAACCTTAACTGGTTAATTGACCGAGTTCTTAGCTACTCTGTCCATCAACATTCTGAGACATCAGAAAAGACTGGACCACTTCTTCAGTGGATTGAGGGCTGGTGCTTACGTCCTCCAGAGCATCTGTAACTGAGAACTGTCGATCCCGCAACCGGTTCCAATTGGCCAAAATATTGTGGTATTCAAAAACTTTCTCATAATTGCCAATGGAATTGTACAGTTTAATGAGACCTCTGTAATCATATTCAAGTCCACTGTATCCTTCACCAAAAAGCTTCTTTCCTAAAGAAATCCAAAAGAAAACAAAATTTAAGAGGTAATCCACCCATACGTCACATCTTATTTCTCATGTCTTTTTTACCAACAACACGAACCTTTCTGTTATGGCAGATCATCACGTTTTTGTTATGGTAAATCAAGAACACCAGCAACATGCAAGCTTCCTGGATGATGGTTCGACTTCTATCTACCTTTAAGGGTATAGTAACTTGTCCTCAGGGACTCCACAATCAGATCATTAATTGTACTATAGCTTTACACGCATAAAAATCTACCAGTTGTATAAAAAACGTGGTCATTTTGTGTCCCAATTTCACTTTGAATTCAATTTAAAAAGTGAAGTTGTTTTTCAATTTTCTCCTTTAAAATCATGAATTTTTCTGTAACGCACTGTACATAACTGTATGAAGTAAGACTATCTTACTACATGCTACAGCATGGCCCAAAGATACACTTGATTTGGAATTATAAGTTCACTGCAAATGATAATGGGCAAGAAAAATATTTAATGAGAGCATAGTTAGGCTGACAAGCACAATAGTTTTTCCATTTCTTTCAAAATTTAACTACACTCTGCACTTAAACTCTAGCCACAACTCCAAAAATGTAGTCTAAAGACTAATACCCAAGCTTTTCATTAGTCAGTTTCCAGATGCTTTCAAGAGTCAAAGTTCTGATGGAGCACTGAAAATAACACAATTCCAGAATTCAGTCCCCAGGAGAACATTCAAGAAAAAGCATTATATTTAGATTGAAAACACATACACAATAAACATCTTGCATTTCGTTAAGTTCTTTACTAAAAAATTCAAGATGCTTTTTAAGAATGTTTCCTTAGTATTGCAACTGCTATGAAGTAACGCATTTTAAGAATTACCTACCAATTGCTATGGATCGCAAATAAAGCTTTTCAGCATTTTCATATTGATTCATATCATAGTTATAGAGAGAAGCTAGATGACCCACAGACAGGGCAACTTCATAATCTTCTTGACCTAGAAGCTGCTCCTTAATCTGAATTGCCTTGATGTGCATTTCTTCTGCTTCCTATGAGGATCAAATTCACACAGGTCAGTCAGACACCACTCCCCATGCCATAAAGAGAGGAAGAAAAGGAAGGTTTAAAGAAATGTAACGATGTAGTGGCTAAACAGTCTGTAGTACTTTACAAAAGGCAAAAAGTAAGAAAGCCAAAACCAAATCAAGTTCTCCAAATTCTTAGTTAGGTGGATCAGCAAATAGTACCACTTTTTCCGTCATCAAAATTGCTGTCACCCTGCCTCTGAAGGCATTGTGCATCTTAACAGATGATTTCTGCACAAAGCTTTGGAGAGAAGAATTATGAAATACAAGTTTTCCAACCATAAAACTACCAACTGAAGTCATGAATTGCAGACATTGAAAATCATCATTTGTTGTGACAGATTTGTAGATGTCTTGCAGATTTCAAGTCAAGACCTCAACATCAAGATAATCTTACCTTAAACTTTCGCATGGACTGATACAGTCTTCCAAGGTTGCCATAGTGTTTTGCTGTTTGTACATTAAACTCCCCAAAGGCTTTTTTAGCTAACTGGAGTGAAGACAGATGTAAGTCATGAGCTTCCTGAAGTAACCTCTGCTCAGTTTCTTTGTTGTGACAGTCTATTGCAATCTCCTCCAGGATAAGTGCTGAATATAGGAGAGAAAAACCAACGTTACTGCGTTCCAAACACAAAGAGGTGTTAACTGCAGGTAGCAGAAAGCTACCTACCCAGGGCACCTCGGGAGACATCTAATCAGGCTTTGTATTTATTACAAACTGTTTTCAAACAGGAAGGACCAGGTATCAAGCTTCCAATGTGTATTTTTATATTCTGTATTTTTACTTTCCCCCTGTCCCCACCAAAAAAAAGGTGTTCTGGCTAAGTTTTAAATATTTTTTTTTTTTTTTGTATTTTACAAGTGTGTTGACAGAGAACACTGAGGACTGCAGAGAATATTCTGGAGTGAGCTCCATTAGAAAAAGACAACTCAAGTTACATTGCCTCTGTTACGGAACAGGATAAACATATCTGAATGACCAATTCCAAACTGTCCCAATAATGCAATTAAGGGTACTACCTTTAACTCTCTTTGAAGATGCCAAGAGAAGATGGTCTTCTGGGAGAATGTGAGTTATAATGCCAATAGCACGTTCAGCATGGAATCTGAAAGAGTTTAAATTAAAAATTCAAGACACATATATGTAAGTTCACAGCTCACTGATAAAATATTAGAAACATTTATGCATAAACAGATGCATTTAAATTCTAATTGGAAAGTCTGCATCATTTAAGAACGTTTTTCTCCATTTATAGTACTAAATTTGCTGCCAGTACCTCAAACAATTGTACTCACAGTGCGTTGTCAAATTTTCCAGAGCTGTACTGGTGAACATATGAAGAGTAAGCCAAGTCTTCATGAGCTGTAGCTACATGTATGTTTTTACCTCCAAATACTGACTGCCGGATATCAAGAGCTGTCTGAAAGTGACAAGAACACCATTTCATCAGTTAATAGAGAAAAAAACCCCAAATGAATCTCTCTCATTGTTAAAAAGCGGGGGGGGGGAAATCTACTGGCTCCGAAATTCTGTAGGCCTATACCTACATACTTGAGGCATTAAATATATAAAAGCCACTTAAGAGTCAGGGATAAAAAAAAAACCAACACAAACCCACATAGTTGGGGGTGTTTTGGTGTTTTTTAAATAACAAGCATTACAGTAATTAAATCAATTATTATCTACCTCTATGAATTAACTGCAAGTGAGTTTCAGTAGAAACATTTGAAAGATTATGAATATCAAGAGAAATTGAAGACAGGCGTTTAGCCTTGCTGCATACCTGATAGATTGCAACAGATTGGCAAATATTGTCTACGTTAAGCAAGTAAAATCCATAGTCTAGTAGCGTATCAGAATATTTGGGGTGCTTGGCTCCAAAATGCTCCCTGTAGAAACATACTTATATTACAAATTGAGGAAAGTTAAGCATAATTTTAAAAGGGTTTTTTTTGGAACGCTACTTACCGAGCAAGGTATACCGCATGTTTTATCAGCTGTTCAGCCTTCTTAAATTCACGTTTTACAACACAAGCCTAAACAAGTTGAAATGAAGCATGTGAAGAGGTGTATGCTCAGAACTCATCTCCTCCAGATACTGATGCATTTGCTAACAACTATTTTCAATTTCAAAATATCATTGTGGTTACTAAAGGACTTCTCAGTTATTTAAGAAAAGGTTCACAGAGAACATTAATAAACTTGTATTTGATTTTGCCATATATGCCTAAAGGGCTAGTACTGTACCCAGTCTAGACCAAACAGCTGAACAGACCACCTTTTTATGGAATGCTCTCCAGTTAATTTTGTTGTGATGTTCGTTTGAACAGCTGTAACTCAGTTTCAGAAAGAAAAAAACAAAACCCCCACAGGTCTGAGACTGAGGTGGACCAACTAAACACAAATAACAAACCGTAAGGCTCCTCATCTGTTCTTGGTAGCAGTTTAGTTACAAAAGAAATATGAAAGATTTTAAACTCACCTTTGAAGCTTGTCGTAAAACATCCACTACTACTTTTACAGGCAGGCCAACCGTGATCTCCTTCATAGCTTCTATGCACCATTTATAAGCCTGTTGAACAAAGAGTTTCCAACATACTGAAGCTGGAACTTCACTACGTTGCAACATTTAGAAAAATATTACTTGGCTCTGAAGAACATACTGGACATTTACATTACACAATTTAAAAAATACTGTTTAATTGCTTATGTGTAATAAAACTGGTTCAGTTATGTCTTAAAAGACAGACTTAAAAAGTGCTCTTAAGGTTAATACCAAATGTGTAAGTTAAGTATTTTATACTAACCTAAGGCATGTATTATCACAATTACTTTTATAGGCAAAAAAAGGTTATTTTATCATCTTTAAGTAATCCTCACAATTCCTATTGTGTAGGACAACTTCCTGGTAAGTGTACTTAGGAGCTAAAGGAAAACTGCAGTTTATACAGCAGTTCCACTTAAGGCACAGTTTTTATATAAATAAGTGCAAATAATTGTTACCTGTGTTCTGCTGTTGATTTTTACCTATTAAAATAAGCTTTTTATAATATTTCACTTACAGATGACCAACACATACTACCATTCTATCATGCATCATTTCTTCATGTTGGTCAAAGTACCGTTAAGAGCTTGTAGACTAACTAAGAACAATACATAAGAAATAAAGTCAATAAATCAAGTATTCCTCTCGTACTGCCACACAGGTACCAAAAAAGATCAGGAACTCCAGCTAGAAAGATAACGTGAATAATGAGCCAGTCATGGAACATCCTAGCACGTTTCATAACCAGTTTTCTGAAGGAAAACAAAAACAAAATCCCACTCACCTCATCATAGTGGCTCTTGGCAAAAAGCAGCGCACACAGCTCCCCATAGAGTGCTGCTTTGTTTGCTTGCTGACCATGTTTTGCAAGTTTGTCCATGTAAGACTGAGCGAGTTTGAATGTTTCTTCTCCCAAGTGATATTTACAGTTACCATTTCGAACATGCAGCAACCTTAGGAAGATGTAAAGAGTTCTTCTAAATGGCGTCTGAATAAACCATTTTGATATACAGCAGTAGCATGGATCTACAATTTGGTATTATACTTACAATAGAACTGGGCTGTCATCCCAACAAAATTGCACTGTCTGAATCCAGTAACACAGAAGAACTATTTACAGAGTATTGTTTCAGTACACCATGCTTTGTCTCTTGCACGGCAAGAATTTTTACTGTTGGAGAGGTCAAATGATTTTACATATTGATGCAGTTTTACATATCCAATGCTTGAACCGCTTTGGTGTGGTGGCTTTGTGTTTTATTTTTCATAAAATCCATTCTTCTCAACACTGATAAAATTCCATTTCCAAACCCCTGCAATATACAGTATTAAGTCCCTTCTGCCTCCTTTCCAAAGTATGGTAAACTGAAACAGACACTGAGTAAGTACAGACATAGCTGGTTTTCATGCATCTCTCCACTTTTTCCTCAAACCTTAAGTAGCACAGTGCTTCACAAGTGGGCATTTTTTGTTTTGGGGGTTTAGGGGTGTGGAGAAGGGGGGTGTCTTCACAACAGATTCAATCACGTCCATTCGCCATGATATCCAGCACCGACTTAGCACCACCAGAAAAGACTACTTTGATGACCCACTTCACAGCAACTCTAAAAAAAAAACCTCTCCCCCCGCCTTGCCCCATCTCCTAACCCGCTGCCTTTCCACCTGAAGGATTAACAGAAGCTTCATGAAACAACAGCCAAATGCGGACAATAAAACACAGCGCTATTGAAACATACGCTTGTTTCTCTAGAGAAGTAACAATTTCAGCTTCTGGCATCTATTTGAAACGAAAGTAAAGAATTTTTTTCATTAGTGTAGGCTGAGGCTTATTTACTTTAAAGAGATACATTAGAAATGTGTGTGTTATCATATTCCAAGCCTAAAGGGCAGAATTGTATTCCCAGCCATTGCAGGCTAAGAAGAGACAGCTGTTCCTTCTCTTTGGCAAATGCCTGTCATTTAGCATAAGTGAAATTTTTGTAAACTAACCTCCATTGTCCCTCCTGGAAATCTGTTACTAGACAATGAGTAACAGAAATTGAAAAACATCAGGCAAGCCTTTGAAAATCAGGAGGACAACATAACACAGGAAGAGAAATATACAAAGTGAAGTGAAGCAGAACATAATGCTGTATTGCAAAAAGGCTAAAACTCTGAAAATGTGAACTAATATATAGGTACAGCATTTGATACCTTTTATGATACATTACAATAGATCTTCCAATAAACTGTTAAGGGACAAGGAAGGAACAGTGAGGTTTTTGATCAAAGGTTTCTCTTCTCTAAACCTGTTTCCTGTTACCATTTACTCTGAGTGGAGATTTAAGTTACTGTAGCCATGCCTCCTGCAATTGCAAAGTAATACATCTAAGTTTGCCCTGTAAATTCAGCCTGCCTTTAACCTAGCCTCTTCCTATACTTTACTATTGAAATGTATCATGAAACTCAAACGCTAATAAGAAAGGAAATAAAGTTCAGATTTTCACAAGGGAGTGGCAGGCAAGCACCCAGCAGATGTGTATTAGCCACGCAAAGAGAAGATCAAAAGAAAAGACCTTCAAAAAGCCCCTGAAACAAGCTACATAAACAAACACAAGCTCTCCAACAGGGCTCAAGAACAGAAAGAAAAAAGCAACAGCCACATTGTTCCTTAAATAAGGTCCAAGAACTAAACATGATGTAGAAATGCATTGTGTTCTTGGTCACAGGCAGCAGAAAACTATCTAACACTCAAGCAACAAGAGACAGGAATTTTAAAGAAACTAGAGAGAAAAACTAAGCAATTACAGTTTCCCTAAAGAAGGAAACTATACACCATGCAATTGGGAGCTGCTATGCAACATCAAAAATATGAAGCCCAAATCCCATGTAATGGTATAAGCCAGTAGGGATAGTACTGCAATTTAGATAAGCGCCTGGGAAAGATAATATCCAGTATCTGAATGCCCCAGTGGCAGTGTCTAAAAACAAAGAAATTGACCAAAAAACCCGACCTAAACCTAACCCAATCCTCTAGGATAAGCGGAGTTTATGTGATCCAGTTTTGAGTAACAAAAAATCCTTCATTAATCCAAAGGAATTTTAGAAGATAAAGCCAAGAGGAAGAAAAAATGCCTTAGGACGTTTATGCTAATAGCTATGAACCTCCTTTGATGTCTGCACTAACAGCTTCTGGGGAATAGCCTACCCCCCCTCCCCCAACAAAATCATTCTCTAAGAGCATACAAACGTAGTAAATGCAATGTTACACAGCAGCTTAGGAAGTTTAAAAACATCAGAGAAAACCCCAAGAATCAGCAAAATGTGAAACAATGAAGTGGGAGAACCACGTATTTGTATTATGTATTTGTGCCTTATTGTTTAACATATAATAATGAGAGAAAGCAAACCAAAAGGAGCACAACACATGCAGGAAAGCACCATATGAGCTTGTAGAAATCTGAAGTCTTGGCATTTTCTAAAGTTACTCCATATAATTTACTATTGCTAGTACAAAGAAACACCAAATTATGTCTAAATAACAGAAAACTTCACGTTTTTAAACTGCATTCTGTTAATAATGCGATGTATTAATTACAGAGATTAATTACAGAGTAACTCCCAGAGATTAGACTTCGTAGTTTTTAGAATAAGAGCAGCCACTTTTTAAAGAGTGACGTATTTGCAAAAGCTGGACTTAAATTTTGTTCTCTTAAAACTCCACCTAACCCCAGCAGAAGCACGGGTTAAGAACAAGACATTCTACAGTAGGGATTAGATGGTAACAACAAAAAGTTTGTATCTTACTGCCTCGTGACTTCGAAGCTGAGTACAATTACTGCTCTCTCCCACAAGAAGGTGTTTAGATTTTACATACTTAGCACTTCAGAAAGCGTTCCAAATTCTTTCTATTTGATACACTTCCAAATAAACGATGCTGTTATTTGATTGTTTGGGAGATGCCTGAACATACAGCAATGTCTCCTCATTCACACTCTTGCTCAGAAGGACTTAATGTTACATGCAGGCCATCAGCTTTCACAACAAGAACAACGGCTGTCCCTGCCCAAAGAGAATTAACATCTCCACTTCAGAAGAGTTCATTCTAACATAGGATGTTTTTTCTAGCACAAAATGAAAATCTTCTTTCCACAACTGTGTGGGCTGTACGCTGTTGTCCAGAGAGAGTTACCTTTTTTCCCTTTCTTTACCTTCTTTTCTTTTTTTCTATTTGGAGAAGGGGAGGGAGTTTATTTTTTAAGGCAACTTCTCCAGCTTGCCAAACAGCCCGATACAACTAGGAAACTTTTTTAAGATTAATTAGAAGGCAAAGGACCCAGTACTAACAGTGGTACCATATCCATCATTCCCCAGTTCTAGGAAGGTGTGTATGTGTGCCCAGTCTTCTCCTGGCATCATCTTATTTCTGGAATGAAAGCCAGTCGTAGCTGGCAGGGCAGAACAAGGCAGAGCAGCAACTGTTGCCATGGCCCTCCGGTTGGCACAGAAAATAAGCAGTTACTGGCAAAGCCTATTCACTCTTCGTATTTGTCCAACCATAAACAACATGCAGGGCTTTTTTTGGAGCAGTTTTCCAAAACAAGTTTTGCCCTATATTCAGATAAATACAGTACATACTTTGTTGTTCATTACAGCAGCTAAAAAAATAAAAACAATCCTATTTTAACTATGCGCTTGAATACCTGTGTGCTAGTGAGCATACCTTGTAGCACACAGAAGAGGTCAGTCGTGGTGTTACCAATGAAAACAACCTGGCTACTTGCTGCAGACTGCATCAGTATAGCACACATCTAGATACACAGACGTAAGAGCAGAGCAACTAAAAACTAAAAGTGATAATCTTGGAGGCCTCTGTCAATGGAATTTGAATCTCAACAGACCCCACTACAGGCCTTGAGAAACAAGGCAGGTACAAAACCCAAATGCCTCCTAAAAGCAAAAATACTTTTCCAAATGTTTAAGCTGTGGCTGAAGGTGTCCACAAGAACTGGACGTATAGATATTTACCTAATCACATAGTTAGGCAGCTCAGCATGGAGCAAGAGAACTCACTGGATCTGGAACCAGGAAAGGTATGTTTTCCTTTTATTTCTGCTCAACTACATTTAACGATATGTGTTTGGATTTGGCAAACTCTTCTTGTAGTAAATATAATTTCAGCAAACACCAACAAATAACATTCCTTCACATGCAAAAAACTTTGAAAAGAAACCAAGGTGCTGGACCACTCTTACTGTCCAGCACCAATGATATATTATGCAGAATGGCAAAACGGCGTTTCTTTTTCCATTGAACTGTGCTGCTAGTTTACAAGTTGAAAACCCAGGGATTAGTGTAAAACAAGCACCTTCTCATATTCAGCTCTAGCCAGGAAAGTATTCTGGTGCAGCAGAATACTGAAGGGAGGATCTGAAGCTTGATGGCTCCAAGGCAGTTGGTAACATATGTGTATTTCCCAGTAAAACATACAGGAATTAAAGGTGAGCTCACCTTACACAACATTCTACGGCACGAAACCAGTGAAGGATTTCATCATGAAGGGTGCATAACTGAAGGCAGGAAAGAAATACCTTCTCAGCATCACTGTACCAGCCTGCATCTGATAGGAACCCCCCTGGGGGGAAAAAAAAAAAAAAAAAAAAAAAAAAAAAAAAAAAAAAAATCAAGAACAAACAGAAATTTAAACAGCAAAACACCTTTTTAAGAGAAAAAGGGCTTGCTCAAGTCTTTTAAGAAGACTACTTATTTCATAGAACTGCATACTACATATGGGAATCCTGTCAAGGTTGAACCCTCCAGTCCCAAATTGCGAAGGATGAAATATAAGAGTAGAAGAATTTTCCTTCAGTTGAGGATGACTTTTTGGTATTACATAGTTTTCCTACAGTTTTCTGTCAAGAAATACTTACCAATACTAGAATTATGCAAAGTCTTAATGTTAAGCATCACATCTGCAAACAAATTTTAAATCTAAAACATTTGAAATAGCAAAGATAAGCCTATATATTCTTAGATATTAAAATCCAGTATCTTTTTCTTAAGACACCAAGTAGTTTTCTAAAACATTCCAAAACCACACATGTCATTTAAAAAGAAATCACAGACATTAACATGAAAAAAAATTAGCATTAGGTTAACTGAAGCTTGCATGAAAGAAAGTATCAACTTTTAACAGCCTATCATCACCAGTTACCTAAAACAAAACCAATCTGGATTGCTTTTTCTTTTACAGCAGAATCTGATTCTGCTATGTAGGAGCACCGTCTACTGAAAGAATATGCCAGTACAGAAGCAACTTTTACTCCATGGTCCATCAAAGCCTGAAAACAGTGATGAAGCAGATGTCTGAAACAAAAGAAAACAGAATTTGATTACACATGAAGTTTTTAAAACACTGCAGTCAGTTGGCTCTTGAGTGCCATGAATTCAAATGTGTAGTGATTCAGAGAAATAACTCCAACCCTCTCTCAAACCAAAACCAGATGAATACAAGCATAATTCTCAATCTCAAGGCTAATGGATTACAGTTGTTGGACTATCCAACAAATAAAGTGAGTGTACACAAAATTCTTTACAAAGGACACCCTCCAGTGTAACCAAAACACAAGCTACCCACACAGTATTAAAACTGGAAAACAACATTTTCAGCTAAAACTCTGAGGGGGGGAAGCCTCAAATCCACCCTCACCCCACAACTCCCACAGAAATTGTAGATAAATGAGCAGTGACGAACCCATTAACATCACACACATGCAAACAATGCGAGGGAGGTATGTCTAAAGACTCAAAGTTTATTCCCGTTACAAAGAATCTGATCTAAAAAAGTCAAGTTTTGAGCATAACACCACAAATTCGAATATTTAATGACAAGAACACTCTTTAAACTGGGGCAATCCTATCAGCTTGATTACCCTGCACTTAGGATTTGCTACAACAACAAGAAACAGGTACTTTGACTGCCATTGCTCAGGGACTAGCTGGGCATTGATCAGTTGCTGGTGAGCAACTGGGGTGTTTTGGGGTGTTTTGCATCACTTGTTTTTTTGTTTGTGCTCCCCCCCCCTTGTTGGGTTTTTTGTTGTTGTTGTTTTTTTTTAATTATTAAAATTGTCTTTATCTCAACCCATGAGTTTCCACACTTTTACCCTTCCAATTCTCTCCCCCATCCCACCAGAGGGGGGATGTGAGTGAGCGGCTGTGTGGTGCTGAGCTGCCTACTGGGGTTAAATCACAACAGACTGCATAGCAGTAACAAAGAAAGCACTTTGGGGACCAAGTACCACACTTGGTACATTTACACAGAAGTTCTGACTGCCTCTTTTTTTGTTTGTTTGTTTGTTTGGTTTTTTTTTTTGAGACAGAGAAAGAGACTTTGTAACTTAAAAGTTCATCTGTAAATCTGAAGAAATGGTTTTATGGTTAATAGATAGGCTAGTAAGACCAAGAAAATTAGAGACATCTTCCAAATTCAAAACCTAGATCAAGACGTAAGACCTGAAATGAGTATTATCAATATATTAAGATATTTACCTTTTATCTAAAGCTCGTAGCACCTTTGCAAAAACTTCTAGTTCACAAAATTCACTACCCAGCTGGCATAAGCGGCCCTGTTGGTAAAGCTGAAAGAAAAATATAAATTAACTTTAAAATTTAAGACTGAGTTCTTCTGGGAAATTTAGCTTGATAGTAAAGATGACTTACGATGAAATCTAGACTTCAAAGTATTGAAATACAGCAGACTAAGAAGTAATAGCTCCACTATCTCCATGCAGGAGCACAACTTCGGTGTTTAAAAACTGAGCACACAAGCTAGAAGAGCTCCACAGGTTTTTATCTATGAAAGTATTTTCAAGTATCTACTATGTCCACCTGCATCATAAAACACTGCAACACCTAAGCTAAAAAGCCAAGACAAAACCAAAAAACTCCTGAAGTTAGCAAGAAAATAGAATTAATAGCTTCGATACCAAATGCTTTGAAAACATTTTTTAAATGACACAGAATCTAGCATACAGCAGTGCAAACAGATTTTATATTACATATAAATATATAAATATCCCCCAAACCCACAAGCTCTGCAAGGGGTGACTCACCAATACGCACAGCTAAAGACAGGTAGAAACCCTGACCCCTTTAATACCTGAGCTTACACAAGTAATTCCTGTGTGAGTAAATGGGAAAACTCGAGGGAATCTGCTCACGCGTTTATTAAAAGCAATGGCTAGTTTTATGCCCAAACTGATTTGTGTCTGCAGAAAAGCAAATACATCAGTTGCCTTGTTCATAAAAAACAAACCATGGAGACAGTTCTTTATGCAATGCATAGTTAGGTTGCAGAACTATCTGCCACATTATGCTATAAATACTAAGAATTTACATAGGTACAAAAGCAACTGTACAAATATATATCAGAAAAGTCCATTGCAGGCTATTAATTCCTGGTATCTCAAAGCCCCTGACCCACAAATGACTGAAAGCAGGATATGCAACCTATGGAAGCACCACTATACACTTGCCATAGTCATATGTACCATCACCAGCCTCTGCTAGAGGCACAGTACTGCATCACGCAGGACTGTTGCCGTACAACTGCTGGTCATTTTAGGTGTTCTAGAAAAACGACACACACCCCACACTTTTTTTATTTACAAAAAAAGAAAAAATGTTTCTGTGAGGCAGTAAATCCATGGGGAAAAAGGGAGAAGCCAGTAGCTCATGTCTCGCAGGCACTTCTCTCTAGAAGCTGCATCTTTCAACACAGGCCGTTCAAGATCCATCTCTGTTCTTTTGCGGTATCTGTGCTATGCGATGCAGGGATCAGAAAACTGCGGTTTACTAGTAGGCACAAACCAGATTAGATGCTCGAGTTTCATGCCATCGTGAGCACACAGGTAAAGCACTGCTACGTTGCACTCTTAACACCTATTCAGAAACCCCTATTTTCTAGTTAAGATATTCAAACATACACTGTCCAAGATGGGCACATTCATACGTACAGCAAGGCTCTCTGTGCTGTCTAAGCAGGTTTTACAGCCATGAGGAACTTTGACATGAGGAGTGCAGCTACCCTTACTATGTAAGCAAAAGTAAGGCCAAGAGAACACATTATGTAGAGATGCTCAATTACAAACACAGATTTAATGAAAACGTTAATATTCCTCTCAGTTTTAATAATTTCTTAAAAAACATTTATTGATAAGCATCTTGTGCCTAGTTCACCTTTTTTCTCCACAAACACTGGAAGCAGATGAATTAGTATTCAAAACAAAGCAGGCAAGAACATCTCCTCCAGCCGGGAATTTAGTTTTAGTCAACTCTTCTTACAAAAGCACATGACACCAATTCTACAGCACAACAAGTTTGTTATTTTAACAACAGAACCTACAAAAAACAACTTCAAAAATACTTTGACCTAATAATGTCAATTGCCAGAAATGAATGTTTTCCTTTTAGTCATCTATTTCGCTGGGGGGGGAAGGAACTCTTTTAAAAAACAGTGCAAGTTTGCATGCAAAGTTACTCCGCAAATAAAACACTGCAATGTCCCTGTACTTCAAAGGGATTGCAGTTTCTTCTCAGGCTATATTCTCTCTGGCACTGAAAGAACATCTAGCCTGGTGTATTTAAAAACTACTGTCATGGTTAAGTGTTCTCATTTTCTTCAACACAGCTGTCTAATGGTAACTGTTCTATAAAAGCTAAAACATATTTTCCACAAACAAAAAAAAGGATGATTAAATCTTGCCTAGTATTCCATGCCTAAAACTGAAGGTGGACATCTTATCAATAGCTGATGATATAATTTCTGGAAGAAACTAAGACATATACCCAAACTATTTTACCATGATTTAAGACAATTGAAACTACTATCACATGTTCAACATTAGGTTTTCAACCAAGTACATTATCATTGCCTCTTATCACCTTGCAGTGCTAACTAAAAATCGCAGAGATTATTCTGATACTAGTTTACCAAATACTAACCACAGTATGACTTTTTAAAATTAATATATTTATGAGGTTACATAAACACAGCTTGTAACGTGCCCACTGTTACATGTGATTCTTGAATTGCTAACAAATAAATGCCCTAGTTGGGTGGGAGAGAGTGGGAAGGTCCCAAACTACACCCTCAATTTTGATATATCAGTTATTTCAGGCACATGTAAAATTTGGCTTATGGCCCAAAGGTCCAAGCCTGTTATCTGCACATCTCTCACCCCAATTCAAATGCTAACACTTGTACCATTCTGGCATGCAAAAAAACCCAACCTATTTTTCACTGGTATAACCAGAAATACAGTATCCTTGGGATGTTTACCACACTATTCGCCCCTTCCCTCAACATACTGGCAAACATTTTTAAGGAAAGAACTCAGCTTGAAGTCTCTTGAAACTGTTGTAGCTGTTACAGCAATATTTTCAAACAAAATTTGACATGGAAATAGTGAGTATACGTCAAACTGTGAAGCAATTCCAGAAGATTTAGTAACACTCATTTGTCCATTGAGAAGCAGTTGCAAGCACTGAAGAAATGGTTCTCTTGTTAAAGCTCCAGAGAGACAAAATTCCTGACCACAAGCCTTGCTACATAACACAAAAAACAAAACAAAATAGTGATTCAAGAAAAACATGCCCTGACAAGAATGGCAGAGGTTTGGACTTCTGAAGAACTATTCTTTTCTTAAGAAAGAAATGTCTTTTAGACACAAACTTAACAGAGATTTATTCTTCTTTAACTACAGGAAAATGAATAAAAGCCTACAATATGACTTCCAACTTCATCAGCTTACACTGACACATTAATTCTAGCACCGAAGACAGAAACCAAGGTGTAAGTTTAATATACAGGCGTACAATTACACACATGCACAATCAAACTGTTTTGCATAGCTGTGTGAAACCACCATGGTCCTCCTTCAGGATCTAAGGCTTAATATTTAGCTCATAGTACAACCACCTAAACATTCAAAAGCTGCATATAGTGGTGTCCCCAATTAAACATATTAATAACATTAACTTGTAACTTATCTGTTATTATATCATCATGCACATGTAATTCTATTAAAGTTCTTGTCAGATTTCTCTCTCTGGATAGATTAAGCTGAGCTCTAACTGCTTCCTAGCAAACCCCTGAAAATAAAGACAAAGATAAATTAAACTGCTAGCAAAAGCAAAGCTGTAACACAAGAGAAAAAGCCATACAATATTTATTTCCCCAGCATTCTGGGCTGTTTCGCTGTGTACAAGCACGAGAAAAAAGACTTTTTCTAAACCTAATGAAAAAATAATAAAAATAAAAAATAATTTTTTTAAGCAGCTGGAGATTAATTCTAACCAATTATAAAAGGACCTTCTAGAAGAGGAACTGTAGCATATGCAATTTGAAAAATATGCTCCTATTGCTCCAGTCTGGGAGAGGACTGAAAAATTAATATGGATATTTCAGTAAGCATTAAAGATACAAGATTTCCAAGAAGCTCCCCAGCATGTTTAGTAATGTCTGATAATGCAACGTGGAATATCATACCAAATTTGGGAAGGACTGTATGCTTGATCAACAAACATCAGTATTTGGGAAAAAAAGTTTGGCTGTAACCACAATCTTCCTTCCATACTTAATGAGGAAGAAAAAAGTTTCCTGAGAGTCAACAGTGCACTGAATCAATCTGTTGACAAATGACTCACTATAGATGGGGTAGAGGGGTGGGACAACAGCCTTAGAAAATAATCAGTTAGAAATTCAGGTACATTGGATTCTTTTAAATCTATTTAAAAACCATCTACAAAGCCTCCAGACAAGTGCTAGTTCTATTGGATACTGTTTAGGGCATTAAAAAAAGAAAACTGTACAGCTCTTCTTTGAAAACATACTGCCAATCACTAGGCTGATCTTCACGAACCTCAATCAAACATAACCAAGAAAAAAAACCCCAACCTCATTGAATAAGCCTAACTTCAGAGACAGCTTTTGTAGCCTACTGCTTTCACACACAGCATGCTTCTTCACATCTTCCCACTCACTCTGCTTTCTGCACCGTATCAGCAAAGTTTTTCATTTCACATCTATGCAGAGTCCAGCACAAGGGATACGAAGTCTCAGCCTTACAGTCACACACACATACGATTCTCCAAAGCAGTAAGTGGGTAAACCGAGTTTGCTTTGAAGTTAAATCAGTACAAAGGAAATGAAGTGGAAATAGGAATTATGGTTTCAGCTGGAGCTGAACACCTCTGTTCATGATGTGACCCTCATTATCTGAATTATGATGAGTTCTAGTCTCTAAGACTCAACAAGGAGACTGAAAAAAATGGGGAAGCTAGAGCATATCAGGTTAGAAAACATGCCCCATCATTAGAAGTTAAAAAAACCCAAACAACTGAGTAATAGGAGTTAGAAGAATGGTAAGCAATGGCAAGAAGTTTCAAACCAGTAAAGACATAACAAGGAAAGATGGTTCAGTTCTAATGTAAATTTAGACTATAGAAATAAGGCATGTGTTAAAATAAAGATTAGTAATAATAATTGGAAAAAAAACCATGAAGTGAAGATTCTCCTTCACTGCGAGGCTTTAATTTAAAAAGGTGATACAAGGAAAGGTGATAAAAGGATATGATT